ATCTGTAATTGTACCAAACAGCAATCTTGAAACTTATCCATCATTTTAGTTTTTACAGGATCCCATAGAAATAGCATTGCCTCCATGACAGCTGAAAATGATTTTAGAAGACTATGCTCCCTTCTTCCAACAAAGTTTGTCCTCAGGGTTAGGGACATCTATTAGGGGTTGGTTATAAGTGGTATAGGGTTGAGGGTTGAAATTATACTTACTATAATCCCTACTGGCTCAGGGATCTCTTTTGAAAAAGGGGATTAGATAGGATAATAGGTAGATTAGTGTGAGGTTACTCGCAATAATAATAATAGTGAATAGTAGTGAGAATACTTGTGAACTATTATTTATAGACAATTTACATTGGTATAGATTCTTGTATATTGATACAAACTCAAATTATATTTGTTACATTGAACATACTCTTATTTCTGTGAACAATATTTCTGTACCTATGCAAAGTTATTTTGTCATATGAATTCATGTTTCTACCTCTTCTTAAGATATTTTGTATATTGATGCAATTTTAGGATACATTTATTATATTACACTATATATTTCTACCTCTGACCAAGATACTTATACATTGTTTACATTGGAGGTCATTGTTCTCATCTGCTGCACATTTGTTTAAAGATTGTTTAATATAGAGTCTTAGTTTTTAAGCTATATAGGTATTAAAAATTATAGATCAATAGCCATCCATGTTTGTCATAGTTAGACTAATCAGGTTCTTTAGATGCATAGAAATTGTATTCTGCATAGATAGGTATCTTTAACTACTTCAAAGAACTGTAGAATATGGCATTTAAATAATTTAGGATTCTGTTGACATGAGATATGATTGCTTCTGGAAGTACTGATCTATTCTTGAGAGAATGTTGGATACTGAATATACTCCACTTGAACCTTGTTTTCTTCTTGACAAACTGGCCTTTGGGCAAATAATTGACACTACCTCAACCACTGAAAAATACACAGTCCAGACTGGACCAACATGACACAAACAAAAAGACTGCCAAACATTGCCAAGATAGGGTAAGATGGTTTTTTAAAATTTTCCTGCTTCTGAAAATGGTCAGTCAGTTGCTCTAGGCCTTAGGCAATGCTGGTTGCCCCAACATTGCAAATGAGTTGTCACTGTCATTTCTAGCACCTTTTGGAAGTTACTTGATTACACTTCCTATTTATTCAAGTAATATTATTTACCTTCTCAGATCTTTGATGAATTTGAAGACTATATAGTCATAGTTACTTTCTTCTCATGAATTAGAAAAGCCATTTCTAATATAAGACTTAGACTCTTTAGGAAAAGATAACTACTGAAAAGTTCAACATATATTTCTTGCTTGATGTTGTTCATTTTGGATGTAATTCCAATTTTTATACTTGATTATTTGTTCTGATTGTATATGGTTTTATATTAGCCTTAGAACTCTCTTATTTGGACAAAAGGGGAGGTGCTGTGAGAATTCCTTCAGCCAATAGCCTTTAAGATACTAGCCAACTTTGGGTATGGTCTTACGCACTATAAATGCAGATGAAAAAGCCTGCATGGGCCCTTTGGCTGCTGGATTGAGTTTCAGTTCCTTGTGCATGCAGAGGACTGCAGATCACTATTCTTGATGTGAGTTTACCCCCTAATAAATAAGTATTTGTTATATTCCATTCTGAGAAAGTGTGGACATCTTTTGTACTACAACATCCTAGAATATACTCATCCAGGTCTCAGGCTCCATCAGGGTCTCTAAACAATCTTGGGAGTCTTCATGGTGTTAAGTATGGGGACCCTCATCATATGAGAAACCTTTTACTAGTTAACCGATCTTTCTCTCTAAACAAGTATTAGAGAGCATCAGCAATGTTGCACACTGTCTTCTGACAATCAAAGACCAGATCTGTTACCTAGCTGTTGCTGTCATGCAGAACTTCTGGGCCCTCCTTCTCTTCTAGAGGACACACATGGGGGCTATGCGTGCACTTTTGAATAAACAGTGTTATTTTTTTATCAGTAAGTCAGTTCAGGTAGAGATGGATCACAAGGTTGAAAGGGTACTAGGCTGAAGAGATGGCTTGATGATTAAGAACACTTGTTGCTCTTACAGTGGTCTTGGGTTCAGTTTTCAGCATCCCCAGTATGGCTCACAACCATCTGTGACTGTGTTCCAGGGCATCTGAGGCCCTCTATTCTGGTCCGTGTGGGTGCCAAGCATCTTTATAAAATTAAATTAAAATTATTAAAGGATAGAGCTGTCCTCCATCTCATGATTAAGCCTCTCACATTCTTGATTGCTCCTTTTGACTTCTCCTTTGGTTGCTCCTGTGTATCATGGTCATTCTGGGATTGCTCTTCCTTCCATGATCTGTTAACCTTTTCCAGAAGTTGTTGGCTGACAGGATCACCTCAGTTTTCCTAGCACAGGCAACTCACAAGAATACCTTAAAGTTGTCCTCCTCCTCCAGACCCTTAATTCCCAGGAATGTTGCCCCTCCCTAACAGGACGTATCATTAGAGACATCCTAGCAAAGCATAGTTCCTGAATTGAGGGAACAGAAGCACAACCATCTTGTCTTGAAGGCAGCTCCATTCTGGCCTGAATAGCATGTCTTTTCATGAAACTAACAGTTTCAGTTTGCTGAAGGCAGACTTTAATTGAATATATCATTCCTGTAATGCTAGTTAAATCAGTAACATCATCTCCTCTAAACCACAAAGACCATTCTGATAATTTAGCAAAATTCCCAGAATCCCCAGTAAGGCTTTTTGAAGCCATAACCCTATAAGAACCCTAGCCAGTAAATGAAGTTCATTGTCTTACTCTATTGACTTCTGATAAGTGTCTGTCCAAAGTTTTTCTCAAAGTCAACCTATCTTTGAACTGGGGAAGCAGAGGCTGTGGGATTTCTGAGTTTGAGGCCAGCCTGTTTTCCAGTGAGAATTCCAGGACAAAGAATTCATGCCCTGTCTTAAAAAGTCAAAAGCAAAACCACATTCTCCTCAAAAAAAGAAAAAAAGAAAGAAACTGATTGTATAAGCCTGAATAGGTGTATTTGTTTCAGACAAGGACTCATTGTATACCCCAGTCCAGCTGTAAACTTATTAGGTATCCCAGGCTTACCTCAAACCTGTGGCAATCCTCCTGCATCACCCTCCAAAATTCTGGAAATACATGCCTGTAGTACAGCCCTGGCTCAAGTCAGTGTTTTAATAAGCATTTTAGATAATTGGTAGAAGTTCAGAGAAATCTGAAAACCACAGACGTATAAAGGAAGTATGGCAGATCAAGTGGGACTGGAAAGTACATGTGAGATCATTTGGGGCTTTAAATAATATGAGAAGGAACTCCAAATGCTGTAGTTCAAGATAAGCAATATTTTTAGAAATCCTTCCCTTCTTGACTTTACTCTGATCTTTACGTTGGAAACGACACTAGTATTATATACATGAGAAGTGCAGTTTAATAGCTATTGCCTCCTTTATAGTGAAGAAAATGCCATCTCTACCTGGACTCTGCAAAAATACGTGGTTGCTGGAGTAAGGCCTTTGACTTCGTATCGCAAAGAAGGGCCAGTGTAAATCAAATGCATGGAATCTTCAACTTGTCCCCACTGCAGTCGGTAATCAGTTATTTCAGCACCATTGCATTTAGGAATCTGAAAGACGAAATGCACACAGAAATTCAATCCTTTTTCTAAATGGTTGCTATATTAGATACTGTGGAGAGGAATAACACATGAAAGCTTGTGATTCATCAAGTGAGACAGGATAGAGATGGATGGAAACAAACACAGGCAGGACTCTAGAACCACATTCAAAGGCACAAGTTAAAGTAAGAAAAAGGACTTACTGATTTCACAAGTTAGATCAATGAAAACAAATATATTAATATTGTTTAACATTGCCATTGGTTAGTATGATAAATCACTGATCACATGACCTGGTGAATTGGTCTACATAAGTTAAAAATCAGCAATGTCATACATTATTAACAACTAAGCCCTTTCTGTCAATGTTAAAAAATAAGCTATTGCTTGGGACTGGCAAAAAAAGAACAACCCAAATGAACATATTTACCTAAATAATTAGGCTAATCCTTAATATTAAGAATGTAAGTAGTTTGGTAAGACATTCACATGGGCTGTTAAAAGTATATTTCTAAATCTTTAATATACCTTATCTACCAGCTTGTAGCTACAGATTAGAAATGGTATCAGAAGATTTTTCAATGAAATTCTTCAAATAATACCAAGTTGTGGGCTGGGGATATTGTTCAGAAGTAGAGTGCTTGCCTAGCATGTATGAATCAGCTCCAGCTTCAGTCCTCAGCACCACAGAAAGCTAAATTTCTTGTAAAATTATTTTTCTTAGCTGTCTTTTGCAATAGATTTAAAAATTCAATTAGTTACCCATTGATAGTCCATTTTGATCCCTGCTTTTATAGTTGATATCTGAAGAGAAGAATATCAGTTATGTAGTCTTCATGATATTACTGGTATCAGTTTCTATATATGTTCTAGAAACCAAGGTCTGAGGGTTATGGGATCCTAATTCTAATCTATGATTCATGAGAGATTATGGGATCCTAATTCTAATCTTTGATTTATTAGAGATTTCAGGTTTTTTTCCATTAGCATGTTTGTGTGTCAGCAAAATTAATAAGAAGTTGAATCAGTGAAATACCTCCCAACTGACAACAACACAGGTTGGACCCTTGCAGGTTAGCACAGGTGTACCACACTGAGAAGGAGGGTGCCGGGCTGGTACAGTTCCACACTTCATAGAATGAGATCCAAGCTACAAATTAAACAAACATACAAATAAACAAACCCATGCATGACTTTGCAGGCGTGGTCACTCCTTACCTGGACAGCAAGTACAGTGCAAGCATGTATTCATTCAAAGTGAAATGAAGTACAGGCAGATCACCTGAACAGCGCAACTTCTCTTCTCCTATTTTATGTTTTTAGCCAGAAACTGTGGGTTCTTCAGGAAGTCATTTACTTACTGTACATTTCTTTTTGGAGCCAGAGTACTCCTTTCTGTTATTCCGGGGACCTTTTGCTTTTTTGCCACGAATGACTGTTTCCAAGTTCCCATTACCGGAGCGATTGTCTATCAAATATGTAAAATACACTCAGTTCTCACCTCCACAAATTAGTTATGTTGGTATTAGTGTTCGTACCCACTCTTGTTTAAACTAAACACATACACTATTCTTATGCTTTGCTTCATACCAAGTCTCTGGGTTTCATGGATGGTTCTTTAGAACAATACAATATAATGTGGAGTGAGTTAAGACTCCTCTCTTAAAATGCTTTAGAGACGTCAAGCTTATTGTATCAATTAACCTTATAAACTGACTTAGAAATTAAGTTAGGTTTCCATTACTAAGTGTTGGTTTGCTAAGAATTATTCAATTCAGACTAAAGGGAAACTCTATTTGATAATATTAACACAGGCACGCAAAGCTAAAGTCACAGGACAAGAAACTTAGGCACAGTTGTCAATCAAGTAAGGAAGATTTACTTACCAAGGGGAAGGTTTGTGTCCTTGCACTTGGTTTTGCTGTTTAAGGGCAGTGAGCGACAAGATGCAGGAGGTAGAGTAGGTGTCTGAATTGTCAATACATCAGAAGGCTGAGAGATAGGAAATATTTTACTATTTTACTAAATTGAAGTTCAGCTTTAGAAAACATCCAGTAATATAACAGTTTATTTCAACCCTCAGTTTGAGAACTCTCCCCTTTCTGATTTCTTACCTGGCTTTGGCCTACAGGTGAAGTGCAAAAGACTCTCAGTTTATATGTGGTGCCTGGTTGGAGGCCATCGTACAGAAATTCCTGGAGAGTGCCATTGTAGATTATCTTCCAGAGATTTGCTGCAGGAAGAAGAGCAAATTGGCTCAATTTGTTCATAGGTCACTTCTAACTTTTAACTCCCCACAACAATTAATATATTCATGATATATGCTAAAAAACAACCATCTTAGAACATAACTGGTTCCAATAATCTTTTTTGGGGGGTAAGGTTTCAAGATAGGGTTTCTCTGCTGTTCTGGAAGTCACTCTGTAGATCAAACTGGTCTCCAACTCACAGAGCTCTGCCTGCATCTCCCTCTTGAGTGTTGGGATTAAACATTTATGTCACCACTGCCCAGCGTAATCCAGTAATTTTTTATGATAAATTATTTTACTCCCAGCAGAATTAAATAAAAGTTTACGGAATCAGTAAGTCACGATTTCTAAGCAAAAGTATTCCAATTGCATTTTGTGGTTTGGTCTTACAGATGTGTTAAATATTAAAATATTAATTTCTGGTTCTTGCAATTGCACTATGGTTATATGAGACACTAATATTAGCTGAAGCTAAGTCACAGTTTTGCTAGGAAATTATGCACTATTTTTTCAAAACTTCTAGATGGCTGTAAGATTATTTCAAAATAAACTCTTTTAAAATTTGTGTTGCCTTACCACCATCTGAATTTTCACTGACTTCTAAACTGTAGCTTGAAATGTGCATCCCACCATTGTCTCTGGGGGAGTCTAAAAAGAGAAACAAATTTTAAATGATTCTAGAAAAGCTTGCAAATCTTTCACTAAAATTTTATCTCATAAATTGTAACTTCTTACAGAGAAAAATATAAATGTGGCACATTGTTATATATATAGTAACAATCTAAAAACCTAATACAAGTTACATACATTTGATATCACTCATCAAGTATTTAGATAGTATTTCAAGGTTCTTGGTAAGAAACCAAAATGATAAGAATATGTGAAATAATTTTCATTCATCTAATTTAGAGGCAAAAAATCTGTTTAGACACAATTTCTGATTAAGCTGATCTTTATCTTTGACACAGACTTGTTACTATAGTACCTATTTTGACTAAAATTTTACTTGGAAGACGGTTATTTAAAAATACATATGAAGTTCAAAAGTTGGTTCATATGTGACTAGTTATGCTAGCTATAGAAAGTTCAATAGCAAATTATCAAAAATGATAGGGGTTATAAAACTCATTTATATTGCAGAGTATTTCACATGCAAATGGAAATATTTTATTAAGCTTAGAGAAATTGCGGAAAGATTTTCTCTCAATAGTAATTATGGAGAGAACAAAGTTTAGACATAGAAGAATTATTTACCCCAGCCAATTTTTACTTGGCGTGCATGGATTGTTCCCACTACATATGGTTTTTTAGGGTATCCAGGCTTGGCCGGACAAGTAGAATATTTTACTTCTCCACTGGGATTGCTTCTTCCTTCCAGATTGTAGGCAAAAATCTGTTTGTGTAAAAGAAAGTATTTTGTTGGACATTGGAAATAAATGTCTAGTTTGATATTGTGCAATGTGCCAGCTGAGTAAGAATTTCCAAGAAATAAATGCAAAGTAAAGTTTCATTTCAAAGAAAAAAACCAGCATTTATTCCAGCAAAGAGTTTAGTCTTGTATGAAAACACAACACCAATTTTTATATCATGCCACATACCCGAAACTTGTATGTAGTATTTCTCTGAAGATTTTTTACAATGCACGAGAGATCTTCTCCATTGTATTTAGGTTTAAAACCCAATCCCTGGAAATGGAGGACAGGGAATTTAGGAACGAAGCTTAGGTTCAAGCTCTGGCTTCAACTTGCTATCTACCTTAATGGTCTTGAGAAAGTACCTTAAACTTTCTGAACCCCAAAGGGTCTGCACCAGTTCCTCTGCATATATGTTACAGCTGTTAGCTTGATGCTTTTTTTGGGACTCCTAACAGTGGGAGTGGGTGCATCTCTTGCACTTTTGCCTGTTCTTGGGAGTTTTCCCCTCCTAATTGGGCTCATATAATAGCCCTGATATGAGGGCTATTATATGAGCCTATTAGTTACGACCCAGAAAACGTCTCAGTGTTATCTCCTCCATTTAACATTTTGTGGCTTGTACATAGTAATTTGTGGCTGCTGTTTAAATTGACTGGCTCTTTGACACAGATTTGAAAGTTCCAAATGGAATGAAATAGTTTCCCATCCACACGAGAAAACTGAGATGAAGGTGGCCAGCTTGGCAGAATTGTGTAAAGGTGCTGAAAGATATCTGTGACCACAGAGAGTCAGCCAACAGGGCTGGAGCTGAAAATGCTAACAGACGTCTTTGACTAGAACGAGCAGAGTGCAGGGGTGCTGCTGTTGCCTTCAGCTAGTTGAGGATGAGGGGCCTATGCAGACTTGCCCAACAGTTGCTCTGCATTGAGCCCATTCAGAACACAGGGACTCAAGGGTATTATTCCCCCCTTCAAGTGAGAAGTGAGTATAAAAAGGTATTGAGAGATGAGGCCCCCAAACAGGAAACTTACAGATCTTGGTTCCTCCATCTCGAGTACATAAGTAAGAGTGTCATTTGGGTTTGGGTTTGTTGGGGCACACCATTCCAGCCACAAACTGTAGACTCCTGCTTCTTTCAACTTAGGTGGCAGCGGTGCCGGAGGTGTGTTTCCTGATGTGTAGAAGACGGCTATTTCACTGAAATTACTGAAAGGATATGTTAAAGTGGAAACACCAGTTTCAGGATCTCATGGCACTGTAGACTTTCCAATAGTGAATATAATTCAGTGTACCTGGAGCCGAAGTGATTTTTGGCAGCTAATCTGAACGAATACTTCGTAGAAGCGGTCAGTTTAAAGATCTTGTACTGTTTCGTGGGACCACTGTAGCAACTTTTGAACTCTTCACCTTTACCCTTGACAATGCACACAAAATATTAGAATATTTTAAAATACTGCACCTAACAACACATACTCATCATAGTTAATCATTCACAATCAGGAATGATTTTTAAAGATATCTGTGCATGAAGATTAATCCCCATGGGGTTCCTGCACTGAGAGGGGAAAATGGACACAAGCCCTCATCCCTAAGCCAGAACTTATCTCCAGATGATAATCGCTTGAGAAAGGAAAATTCATTTTTTTTTACCCATGGAGTCTCACTGAGTATCCAAATCATACTTAAGGGCAGGATCCATTCCCTGCAGTATTTGACCAATACAAAATGGACTCAATGGTAAATGTGGACATTTTTTAGTGACTCATAATGCTTGTCTGGGCATTGAAAAAATATGTATAGGTCTTTTGATTAGATATTATGATTTCTGATCTTTATGTGTGCAAATGTATATCTCTATATTTACATGTGTTTCTTGTGCTTTTTATTTGGCTCTTTTTCTGTTTATTTGTTTGTTTTTTCCTATTGAGATTTTTTAAAAATTTTATCTTACTTTATTATTTTCTTCTTTCTTGCATTAGATGCCTGTTTTATAAGGAGAACAAGAAAGTCTGTGGATTTTCATGGGGGATACATAGGGGAGTTGAGGGAGGGGAAACAGTAATCTGCATATATTATATGAAAAACTATTTTAATATAATTAAAATCAAAATAAATGGCATACCTCATCCCATTCCAAAAGAAAGCTGCTTATTTTGGATCCATTATCTTTGGAACCCTGAATTGGTCAGAATAATAAAATTATGATGGGTTATTTTTACATTATACATATATGTTACATATAATATATACATGTGTATGCATTTAAACTGGTATAAATTATTGCAAAAATTTAGGGTATTTGTTTTCATGGCAATTCATATTTAAGTTTAGAACACATGGCTTACAGACTACAATACACACACTGATTCTATACTTTGTTTTCAGACTTCATAAAAGGAAAGAAATTAAAATTGATACATAAGAAATTGGAGAGACAGATTTATTGATAACTGTGATGATTAACACCAAAATTTAAGTGGTGAAAAGGGGCAGTTCACTTTTTATTTATTACCTAAGTTCTATTGACATTTCTCAATTCACTTGGCAGGACTTCTCAGAATGAAGAGAAAGAGTATTGTGAAGAGAAGCATTAGAGAAGTAAGTTAGATGAAGCATGCACAATCCATCTTTAAAATTCAGGATACAGAAGAGTGTTTTAAAGCCACACTGAGATGCTTTTGTCAGTAAAATCCTTACTTTCCACTGCAGGTTCAGGCTGTTCTTGGTTCTGTTAATTAGTTTAGGTGCAAGTGGAGGGTCTGGTTCACAGCCACGTGTTGTGAAACTAACCACTTCAGACACGTTTCTGTGCTCTGCATCTCTTATGGTTGTAACTCTGAAAGGGTAACAGCAATTGTCATAAGCTTTCCAGTACTGAGTTGCACGATTGTGCTTCTAGACACATGTTTTGTTGTTCTGTTGTTAGCATATATTGTTTATACATAGTAACGGCTCACATTCTGGCATTTTCATAGAAGATCATACCCCCTCCTTTCCCATTATGCTCTTTTGCTCCCTTCTCATTCCCAATAGTCACCTACTTTCTACTTTCATGGTCTTTCTTTTCTATACCTAGAAAAGAATGAGTTAAACTAGGGTTGCTTACATGAGTATTGGAGGTGGGGTTGTTTGAAGCTGGAAGGAAAGGGCATTTTGCTGGTAAATAATCAAGCTGACTTCCGGAATTCTAAGTAATAAAGTCTCATAGGTTAAGGAGTCTTGGCTGGCTTGCAGGCTGGTGGCAGGTTGTATAGGACAGACTCTTACCTTAAAAAGTAGACTGTGCAGGGTTGGAGATGATGTAGGGCCACGGAACCCTCATTACCACTGTGAAGATAATCTTTGTTTACATGGGATCTCACACATATTTAACAGCTAATAAGCAATCCTAGTCTCATAATACCTGAATAACTGATAAAGAACCACAGTTTTCCTTGAAGTTTGGATAACTTTAAACCACTTTGTATGTGTGCAAAATATTTCCAGTAGGATCCAGCTTGCACTGAGGAGCGGCAGCGCCTCACCAGGCACACCAAGTTGATGAGAGATATGATCTGGGAGGTGAGTGGTTGCCACAAGCTGGAGGACACACCACAGAGCTGCTCTAAATTTCTACGGCAGGCATTTAAGTTCATAATACGGGGATCCCCATTGGCACATCTGCACCAAGAATGGAGGCGCTGAACAAGGTGCTGCTGGTCCATTGGAAAGCGGCCACTAAGAAGTACTGAGTTTGTCCTGTCTGTTACATCAATAAATCTTTATACCACATACCAAGAATCATAAGAGTAATTCAGAGCAGTCAATTTGTATTTTACTGACACATACATTTAACTGAAATTGTGCGGATTTACTTTTAAGTAGCTCATTTACTTGAGTGTAGATACCAAAGCTTCAAAGAACACCATGTCTCTCTCGTTCATTCATTCAGTTTCAGAAGGACGTTTCTGCAGTGGAATCAGGCCACCCAACCAGAGGGATTATAGACCCCAAACTATGTCTTCCTCAGCAGAAACTTACAAAGACCTAAGTGTATTTCTCCACACCAAGGAATTCCTTTAAAGACCCCTCTAAAGATTGAAGCGATGGATACCTTGTTAAATGGCTACTTAAAAGCTTTTAAGGGCAATCAGAGATGTCAGCAAACAGGCAAACTCTTCCTCTTCCTATGTCTCCTCCTTTACCCCCTCTTTTTCCTCCCAATGTTGAATGCTAAGTTCTATTTCTTTTAAAGTACTGATGTGTGTAAAGTGCATGACATACCAGAAAGATATTTCCATGTAAGTTAATTTTGTATCTCCCTGTCTCCTACCCAATATAGGAATGTGGGTAGGAGACAATATAGGAACCCAATGTGGGCTGTGAATGATAAAGCTCATGATTTTACATGATAATTATCAAATTAATGAAACTTTACATAAATTCCCATTTTTACTTTTTTTGTATCTGGCCAAAAAATGCTAAGTTCTAGAAAATAAAGTTGTCAAATATGATTTTCAAAATCTTGTATACCATCTCTTGCTTACTTACTGTCTAAGATGAACAGTGGGTGTCAGATTGTCCCTTTCTCTCTATCTGCATGTCTTTCCTTCCTTGTTTCTCTCTGCTGCATCTTCATCCAGGCTGACTGCAGTTTAGAACATCTGGTTGTGCACATGCTATCTTCTACTGTATTCTCTGTAGTCCTGGATCTATCTTCTGAGCCACACCCCTCAATTTTCTTGCTATTTTAACAGACTCCTTTTTTATAACCAGCTCCCAGAGCTTAATTAAGAATCCAGGGCTTGAATTTTCACTGACATGTAAACCATCTCACTTGTTTACCCAAAGACACCATCACATGAAGCTAATTTTTCCTAAACTGAACCAACTGGAAAATGAGAAGGAATTAGAGGTTCATTTTTTATTATCCTCCTTACGTTCAAATTTTTCTACTAGGTATCCTATAGCTGAAAATGGATGACCTGATATTTAAATAAAATCTGTGATCTAATGAGCTTTGTGGATTGATTTAGGAACCAACTACTCAAAAAAACTAAACTAAAAACTAACGCTGTCTAAAGGAATAATTTAGGGGGAAAAATGAAGAACTTAGCCTAGGGATAAGTTGAGGCACAATGACTATTTGTTTATATGGTATACTTGAATTGAATAACACAAAATAATTAAAAATACTTACTTATAAATGTTTTTATAGATTCCATTTTTACCATTGCTAGACAGTGCCACTTCAAATGTCACAGGAGTATTAGTATGATCACATTTTCCAGTGCTGTTCAGATTCCATGAAACAGTAGCAGATCTTGTTTGGATATTAGAAACCTAAAATGATGAAAATGCAAGGAATATACTTAAAAATCATAATCTGCTCCAATGTGGGTCTCTGTCTCTTATCTCCACCCATCGCCAGACGAAGGATTTACTGTGATATGCAAGATATTCATCAATGTGGCTATAGGATAGGGCCAGTTCAGGTGCATTCTCCTCAGCTGCTCAAGGAACAAGCTGGAACACTGGACTGAGCTCCCAAGGTCCTTATGAGGAGCGGAGGGAGGGAAAACATGAGCAAGGAAATCAGAACCTCGAGGTGTGCGCCCATGCACTGTGATGGTGGGGCTGATCTAATGGGAACTCACCAAGGTCAGCTGGACTGGGACTGATGGAACATGTGCTCAAACCAGACTCTCTGAACGTGGCTGACAAGGAGGGCTGACTGAGAAGCCAAGGACAATGGCACAGGGTTTTGATTCTACTACATGTACTGGCTTTGTGAGAACCTAGTCTGTTTGTATGCTCACCTTCCTAGACCTGGATGGAGGGGAGAGGACCTTGAACTTCCCACAGGGCAGGGAACCCTGCCTGCTCTTTGGACTGGAGAGGGAGGGGGAAGGAGGATGGGGGAGGGGGAGGGAAATGGGAGGAGGGAAGGAGGTGAAAAATTTTAATAATAATAATAAAAATAAAAGTTAAAAAATCATAATCTGTAATTTTGAATACAGTCTTTTGTATGTCTTAATTGATATTTGGTGTAACTCCCATGTTAGGTGCTGAAATACTGGGATTAAATAACTAGCCATTAATTTTGTATTTAACGATGCTGCATTGGTTATTATTGCATTGCTGAAGGAGATTATAGAAATTTTAACACAGTAAATGCTTTAAATGCATCTTCTATTAAAGAAAACATCACAGTGATCATGCGGATTAAGAGTGGAAAGGTAAAAGCACGAACTCTTCAGTTTAGCTACTTACCACAGGCTTTTCAAGGTTGGAACAGCAGGGCTGTGCTCTGCATTCTGTATTGTTTTCTAAAAGTAAGAAAAAACTCACCTCAAACAAAATAATATATTGGCAAAAACAAGAGAAAATTGTTAGATCTACATCACCCTTCAAATACATCAGCACAATGAAAACTACTAAGACCTAATGACATCTTACATTAAACAGTAAAACATGAATCTGGTCAAAATAGGTATTAAAATCTAGCAGAATATTTACCAAATTACTCAATTTAAATAAAGTCAGACAAGCTAAGTAGGATTGAAATTTTCAATGTTTCGTTATATGACAACCAGATAAACATTCAAGGACATGCAATTACAAGAAGATACATTTATTTGTGTGTATTGCTTGGAATTTAATCCGGGGCCTTTCATATACTATACAAGCTCTCTACCACTGAGATACATTCTCACATTTTTCATTATTTTAAAACGCAGCCTAATTGGTCTTCAAAAGAACAATGAGAGTTCTGTCATTTGCTACAACATATACAAACCCAGAAGACATTATACTAAATGGAATAAGTTAAGTCCAGAAAACCAAACACATCATGATCTCACTTGCATGTAGAAGTTAGTAGAGTTGAAGAAAATATTACCAGGAATGGGGTGGAAGTTAGAGAATGGGTAGTTACTGAACAAAGAGAAGAAAATTTCGTATGGGACAAGTAAATTTTTGAGAGCTATTGCATGGCAGGGTGACTCTGGTTAATATAAGATATATTTAAATATAACATACATGCATTTTAAATGTTGCAACAGAAAAAAACCTGATTGGTAAGTAAGTGACAGGTGTCGGTTAGCTTTACTTAGTAATCCCATCATATATATATATATATATATATATATATATGATGGAATTATATATATACATCATATATATTACACATATATGTGTGTGTCAAAATGGCACACTGTACTTTTTAAATGTATGTTTATTATTTATCAACCAAAAATAAATTAAAAATAAAAACATGGAGGTACAAGTATAATGTGGTTAAGAGGAAGCAAAAGCAGAGAATAACACATTAATATTTAAAGTGGGCTGTTGAGGTTACATTGGAGAATAATGGTACTTTCCACAAAGCAGTATGACCTGAGTTTGATCCAGGGTCCTGCACTGTTGAAATGAGAAAATAAACTCCCACAAGTTTCCCTCGGAAATGCCTTATTCACATACAAACACAGACTAAGTAAATAATGATGTGCAGTAGAAATTTATTTAAAAATGCATTGGGAGTCCAAAATAGTTGGTTTGATTACTCATTGGCAACAAAACCAGATTCCTGGGTTTACCTTGTAGTACTGCATTTGACGATTGATTCTTCCTTTGTTTTCCACCTGATATTTGATTATTGTCGCCACCTCCCACATTATTCTCTCTTGTTCCATGATTATTTTCAGTATAAGCCCTGATGTTGTTGGAAATGCTGGCTGCACCAGAAGGTCTGAACACATTGTTAATTGAAGAGGGGATATGAGCATTTTCAGAGATGAAAATGTTGCGATCACTCTCAGAAATATAGCTTGGAGTACTCTCGGTATTTGATGACTTTTGAGTTCCATCAGAGGTGACTGGATCGTGAGTAATTCTGGGAGGAACTGGAGCACTATTGATGATGTCAGAGCAAAGAGTAGCGTTTGAGGTAGAAGCGCTAGGGGCGTGTTCAGAGGAACTAGTGATTTTGTCAGTAGTGTTAATGTCTGGAAGACTGTCGGTAATGTACCTTTTTGGAGTATTGTCAATGGTGCAAGTGCTTAAAACAGTATTCAGAGAGTAAGTGCTTGAAGTATTGTTATCAGTGTGAATTCTTGGAGGAGAATCCACCACAGTGTAAGGACAAAGAGGACTAAAAGTACCGGACATGTCAATGACTTTGTTCAGAAGCAAAGAAGTGTCATTAAACATGGAGCTAGTCTTCTGTTCACCAAATTGGCGATCTCTCATTTTCTTTTTTGAATATTCTCCCATTTTAACAGTCCTCTCATGAAACTGGTTAAGATTTACTCTTCCATGAGGATAGGTTTCTAAAAAAGATAATGTGATAATGTTCAGTAATCATAATAACCATATTCTTTCAAGTCCTTTCTTCTACTTAAACATCAAAAGAACACTGATAAATTATGCTTTACTTAATTATTTTACTTTGCTTCGATCCAAATATTCAGTTTTATGTATATGTTCTATGTATATGTTTTTATGATATACTGATAGGCATGGGAAAATATGAGCAAATACGGTATTTTCCTAGATAATAAATTCACTTTTAAATCCTAAGATCTTATTATTGCGATGACAATTTTCCAGTGCATTTTATATTCCCAATAGTTAGCATTAATAGTCAAGGTTTTTTAAAATCATTTTCTGATCTGAATTTATAAAAAAATATGTGCCACAAATCCATGCTACATAGAAACCAAGAAATGCTAATAAAGTTTTATGAGTATATTGCATAAGACATAAACTTTAGGCATTATAAGCATTTTGTGCATAACCTATCATTAGCCCTAAGATATATGCATGTTATATAATCATTCAAGGAAATGCTATTATCTTCTACTTTTTCCACTTTAATAACTGTTCAAATCTGTTTGCTTTTAACAAACTAAAAATCGTTCATATTTTTCCATGTTTATAAAATTTTCTGTTTCAAATGACACCTATTCATTTTCATAAAAATATTTTAATACAAGTTTATGATGTTCTTTGTCCTTATTTACCTCTTTACCTTCCCATTTTTTCCCCTCCCACTCCTGCTCTTCTCTATTTTTTTTGAGATACTTCTTCTTCTCTTACACCTCCTTCTGCCCCTCTGCCTCCTCATGTTCTTGAGACAAAAATCATGTTTTTGAGGCAGGCCTCAAATTCCAGCAAAGATGACCTCTAATCCTCCTGCTTCCACCTCCAGGATGCTGGCATTGTACACATACACCACAATGTCTGGTTTTATATGGTATTGGAGATCACATCCAGGGCTTTATGCATGCTAGGCAAGTACTCTAATAACTCAACAATATTATCAATTCCTAGATAGTTTAATTTCTACTTCCATGTCACATCTCTATTTGTAACTCAATGACAATGCTTTGTTTGCATTTAAGAAGAGTGCATACTGGGGTGGAGAGATGGCACAAAGGTTAAGAGCACTGGTGATCTGGATTCAGTTCCCAGGCCCCATACAGCAGCTAACAACTGCCTGTTAAGGCCAGTCCCAGGACATATGATGCCCTCTACTGGGTTTGGCAGCCACAAATACAGTGCACAGGCTTCAGGTGGACCCTTTGTACACATAAAAAGAAACAAAATCTCAAAAGAAGGAAAGTACATATTACCATAATGCTCCTGGTATATAAATGTTGCTGGTGGTGGTCGCAGCGGTGGTGGTGGTAGGGCTGGAGGTGGTGGCATCTGCTGTGGAGCAGCTTCTTGGAAGTAAGGCATTGGGTATTCCCCGTGAACTGGGGGATACATAAACTGAGAGGCCTGAGGGAATGTCAGCAGTGGTGCTGCTGTGAAGGGTGAGACCTGCTGGGCAGGAGCAGTCAGGGGCATGTAGTAGTCAAATGTCTGAGGTACAACGATGATTTTTTGAATTCCATTTTCTTCCACCACCTAAAACACAAGACAGAATCATATTAAAATCCATAGAAATCATTATGTTTCAGATTTATACCATATCTTGTTAATTTGGCAATCTAAAGCATCAAGGACAATAATATAGAAGGCAAGACTATTCTTGTTTTTCCACATGTACCTTGCTTTCTTTTGAGACAGGATTTCATTATGAAGTTTCTGGAACTCACTGCATAGACAAGGCTGACTTTCAACTCACAGAGATCCACCTGCCTCTACTCTGCCTCCTGAGTATTAAGATTAAAGGTGTGCACCACCATGTTTGGCTGCAAGTAACTTTCTATTTAAAGGAAGTAATTTCTGGCACACTTCAAAACCTTAAAGTGTACCATATAATTTAAAAGCACCCTTCCTAATTCTCACTTTTTCAATGCTTTACAACTGGAAACTATTGTGAATTTCTTAAGAAGACTTCTAAAATTTGCTTTTTTTCTTCTTCTTATATCACAGTAGCATTATACCTATTCTGTATTTCCATTTTTACGGTGGGACAATGGTCTTGTACTCTGTAAAGATTTGTCACTTGTACTGGTTTCATAAAATGCTGATTGGTCAGTAGCTGGGTAGGAAGTATCAATAAGAAGACCAGAATAGTAGAAGTCTGGGAAGAGGAAAGGCTCAGTCTGCAGTCATCACATAGATGCAGAGGAAGCAAGATGAGAATGCCTTGCTATAAAAGGTACCAAGCCACATGGCTAACACAGACAAGAATTATAGGTTGATGTAAGATGTAAGAGTTAGCTAATAATAAGCCTAAGATATTGGCCAAGCAGTGTTGTAATTAATATAGATTCTGTGTGATTATTTTGGGTAAGAGTGGCTAGAAAATGATCAAGCAGTCTCCACCAACACATTTTTATTTAGTAATATAACTTTGAAGACTTTTCTGTGTAGGTTTACTATTATATCCCCCTGCTTTGAGACAGAGTCTCACTATGTATCTCTTTTTGTGTTGGACTTCAGTATGTATTCTAGGATGGTTTATAACTCACAGAGATTTGCCTGTGTCTGCCTCTTGAACGCTAGTATTAAAGGTGTGTACCACAAGACACATTTTTTGCATATTTCTTAATGTTTCATTATGTACATGTGTAATACAGTCAACCACTTTTAGGCATCAGGTTTATTTTCAAACCTCATTTTGATTATAAACAGCAGTGGAAAGAATATTTTATATGTGATTAATAAATCATTTCAATGTTGTAAAAATAGATCCATGTGATAAATTAAAGGATTTACTTACTCAGAAAAATACAAGCTATACTGAGTAAAATGGGAGTATGGGAATTATGGAAGAGGGTAGAAGGGGATTGGAGAGGAGCAAATAAAAATATAGATCACTAAAAACAATTTAAAAAATCAAAAATCCATCACAAAAATGTTTTACTTATTAAAGAAATTAAAGTGAAATTGGTGAGTGCAGGTACAAGTGCACTCATGTTTTCTTAAAAGTAATTTTGTTTAGAATTTATGTTTTGTTTGTTATGTTTTGTTTGGTGTGTTCTGCATCTATACCACTAAATATACACAACTAAATAAGCTATGAAGTCAAAGGTTTTGAAGAAGAAAAATAAGGTATTTTTAAAGTCTACATTTTCAAGGCCATTGGATATTTTCTTAATCTCAGTATGAGTATTATCTATCTGCTCATTTTAGGGTCACAGGAAATATTTTAAGAATTTCATGTAAGTGTTTTTTAGGCCTTTTAGAATGAAACACTACTGAGTTGAAAATTCTATCTGATTGTAAGGACCAAAGATTATACGTTTTCAGAAGCCATTACTGTGAGAATTGTAATGGTACTTAAGGTCAATTAAAAAACTCTACAAAGCAAGGGAAGATTATTAAATATTCCTTGATATAAATTCAGTAAACAATGAGGTATCACTTATGAGGCAATCTAAGGGAGGTTTGGTTAAAGCCAATCACTTGAAACAATTTCAGTTAAGGATTAACTGAAAAGCAAAATTGAAAGAAATGACAACAGTAAAGTAAATAAATACATATTTCTGTAAATCTGTTATCACACACTGGCATAGTAAAAATATTAGATGGTAATAAAGAGCTAGATGCCAAAGAAAAACCACATTAGCATACCTGAGATATGTAACCAGGAGGAAGGTATATTGGTGGCAAATTACCGGTTGGTGCTATCAGAGGTACGTCTGCTGGTCCTGTGAGAATTATTAATGAATTTTAAACAAAGTCTATTACAGAACCCAGTTAACTTTGCATACTGAAAATCAGCACTGAGCTTCAACAATAGCCACTTTGAAAGGATATTGTCACATATTCACAAAACCCATTGCCAAAGTATTGATGAATCACGGGAAATTAATTTCAACCAATGGAATATCATCAAGGACATCATGAGGACTTGTAAATATTGGCAAGCTCACTGTGAATGAAAATGAGCTATCAGCTTTCTGCTGGTGTTCTCTCACTTAGCATAGTTCTATTGCCTAAAGTTTTTCTCTGCATCATAAAATAATTTCTTGCAGTGATATTACCTAATAAAATGAAAGGAATTTTTATTTTAGAGCTTCCTTCCAATAATATTAAAGGGAATATACAGATATTTATGCATGTAACAAGAGTCAATGAGAAAGCAGCCTGTAAGGGAGCTGGAAGGGTATATAGGATAGTTTGGAGGGAGAGAAGAATAGGGGGGAATGATGTAGTTATAGTATAATCTCAAAAGAAAAGAAATAATTACACAAGTGAACTGGGGCCTGGAGGGATGGCTCAGTGGGTAAGAACACTCACTGATTTTCCAGAGGATCTATCTTTCATTCCCAGCTCCCATGTGATGACTCACCACCATTGGTTAAGTCCAGTTCCAGGGCATCTGATGCTCACTACTGACCCCCACGATCACTGCACACACATGGTGCACAGACATCTATGCAGGTAAAACACTCATACACATAAAATAAAAATAAATCTCAAAAACTAAAAAAGTGAACAGTTTTTAGGAAATGACCTAGTATAAAGAAGGGCTTAGAACTATACATGCAATGCTGCACTTTTGTACCACAAATTTTAATATCTTAAACACATTTGCATGACAGCTAAAAGTTATATTACAGATACTTATATGTCATCATTTTTTGAGTTATTTATAATTATTTTTTTATTTTTTTGAGACAGGGTGTCTCTATGTAACAGTCATCATTTATTTTTCTGACCTCTCCAGGCAATATCCTATAGGTAAGTGACATATTAACAGGTAATAGGCACACAATGGTCCAGTGTCTTCACAACATCCTGGACTCTCCTCACCACCATAGGTTTCCAAATTTTCTCCAAATACTTTCAACATCCCCTTTAAGGTATCTTTTGTCTACCCTCTCTAATTTGGGACTTTAAGAGTGAAATATGACCCAGGAAATGGCCTGGCACCAATGTAAATTGGACAACATCTTTCCGTGGTGAATGACCATCTGACTTGATAAGTTCTCAGGGACCTTGATCACTTTAGGATGAGAACCAGTAAGAGGCAGGAAGCTCTCAATATACAATCTCTCTGCCTCCTCAATGGCTTTTCCTGTGTCACTCCTCCCCCTCTACCCAATTTCTCTTGAAAAAGTCTATTCCCTTCGTTCTCCCTTGGAGATTCCACCTTTAGAGCTTCTGCTGATGCTTTCTCCTAAAACATTTCCCATCCGGTAGCTCAACCTGTTGCTCTTGAGCCCAGTGCCTTGCTCACTGAGGGTTGGCACAAGGTAATAAAGTGGAGAACGCTTCTGTTGTCGAACTCCTCTACACTGCCCTCCTAGCCACAAGAGCATACTTTCTGTCACTAGCATGAAAGCCCAAGCCGGGATTCCCCATTTCATACCCCCATTCATTTTTTCCTTTGATGACATAAATCTTATGCACTCATTTCTCATCTTACCCCACTGTCCATTTCCTCTACTAGGAGGGGGCTTGCTTCATAAACTTGCATCGGTCCTATGTCTTTCTTGTCTATCAAATTATCTTCAATTTATCCTTCTGTGCTAGATGGCATCTGAGGGTGACTCTCTCACATCCCTCAATCCTGTTTCTGTCTCTAAACTCAGCCCCATTATATAGGACACAGGCCATCTGACGGTTGCCCAACACCATCACCTGGAACTCATTTCCCTCAGACTTCCTTCTTGATTTATCTCAGTTCTGAAGTATCCATTTTCCTCTGCCAGGCGCAGGGACTTAAACCCATCGCTTCTTACCTCCTTGTGAATATTGCCATGTCCACAAACTCCCCCAACTGCAACATGCCCATCATTACTGTTTCAAATCTAATGTTTCTACCACCTTGTTCAAGACATTTTGACAGTACCTATCTACTCACATATTCTTTTCTTTTTTTCTTATTTTGTTTTTGTTTTTATAGACAGGGTTTCTCTGTGAAACAGTCCTGTCTGTCCTGAAACTCACAGAGATCCAGCTGCCTCTGTCTCCCGAGTGCTGCACTGAAAGGCGTGCGCCACCACCACCCAATCCTTCTATTATTTTCTCACAGACCCCCCAGGGATAAATTCCTTTTTCAGTCTTGGACTCAAAGTTGCCTTCTTCACCATTATCCTCTAGCCAAATCTTGGAACTTTTTCCTTTCACTTGGACTATCCCTAAGTCTAACTTTTCTCAGAGACTTAAGTGGATTGTTCTCCATAGTTATTACGCAATGGCTCCTATCACTTGAAAAAGTTCTTTAAGGGCACTCAGTCCCACTTCTTTCTTCTCTCCTCTCTCTCATGTCCACACTCTCTTCTTGTACTCCCAAATATTCCTGTCTTCCCACAACATTCTACTGCATGACATAGTAGACCTGTTGTGGGTTCGATACCAGTTCCTAAGTCTGAGAGAGCCCTTGCAGTCTGAAGTCTCAGAGACTACTTCCTGCTACAGGTCTCCAGCATTGCACGTCTCTCCCAAATATTCTATGTTACAACCAAAGATGATCTCATGGTCACCTGGTTTCCACTCCAGATACACTCAGAGGTTTCATCACCCTGAAACAGGCCCTCAGGAACTTCTGCCCTTGGGCTCCCCACCCCTCCTGACCTTTCTTTACCTTTACCTCTATGGTGATCATAACCAGGTCTTAGTTCTTCAAGCCCAACCAGTATTTCTCTAAACAAATTGAAGTATATATCAACGTGGCCCCTTATGCCACAATGTTCTAGAAACTGCCATCCTGCTCATCCCTAGAGTCTTCAACATCTTTTTTTCTCCTCTCATCTGTGTACAACATGAGTAGCCATCTTTCACTCTCCTGCACTTCCTCCTTTTGCTCCCAGTCTTATTACACCACCCTTTTCTAACCTGCAGTTTCTCTCCAGCCCTGCCATCCACTTAACCCTAGCTACTCTGCTCTCAAATACAGGTAACTTCTCTCTTGTGGCCCAATACTTCACAATTACTCTAGGACAACAGAGGGCCCATTAAGGTTTTTTGCCACCTCCCATTCCTAGACCTTTGGATTGGTTCATTGAGGGTAGTTTTCTCAGGGAAGGCCCTTATTCTGCTAGCTATGATAAGAATTTGGGATTGTTATCTTAACTAGTACCCTTGGGTCCCATGATATCTTGACTGCTTTCCCCAGCTAGTGGCAGAGGCAGGTCCTCTCCTTTATCAGACAAATTTTTAGTAGGGAGAGTTCTTTGCACTCACTAGGGTCCTAAACCTAGCTAGATATACCACAGTTTGCACCTACACTCACTCTAATCATACCTATGACGTCATTCATTCAAGAGCTCAAACTTGGAGAGGGTAGTGTGTCCTCACTTCAAAGGACACCTTGTTATTACCAGGAAACATATCCTGTCTCCTTGAAGCAGCCCCATCGCCAAATGTTCCACATTGGGGCAAAGATTGCTTAATCCTGCGCCTGCTAGCTGTCCAAGGGCTAGGATGTGCCTCACTGTCTTTCCCCTTTGACTCCTCTCCTTTTCCTCATAGCATTGAAACAGCGCAGGTCCACTAAAGCCAACCTTTGAGAAGCCTACTAGTATCTTAACAACCTAGTACCTCCTCCTCAACTGAAAAACCTTTTCTTCCTCCAAGAAAGTCACTGATACCTTCCAGGACACTTTCCCCTCTGAAATGTTCATAGTAAACATGATATTCATTTCGCCCTCTAATGAAAGAATACTTACAGAATCTCTGTAAACAGTGTAACAACTGTCAAAGGGCCTCTCCATGAGCTTCTATTAGGTGTCTACTTTTCCCAACTCATTTATCTATGGAATAACTTATACCTCCCATAAGACACCTGAGGTAGTTGCAGTTGACAGTTTCATAGGTGTGCTGGAGGTTTTTTCCACTTCTAATAAATGTAGCTCCAGTGTGACTTCCAGGCTACTAAGCAAAATTCTTTCTCAGTTGGGGGTGCAGGTCTTCCATTTTATTTGGCAATGACTCTGAAATTGTTTATCAAATAACTCAATGGATCAGCTTATCAATGGATAAGCATTTCTATAGTCCTTATCATACCGAGGCATCTGGAAAAGGTGAGAGCAATTGAATGGCATCTTCAAAAACAATCTAGCTTGTTTCTCCAACTATATAAGAACTGGATTTCTTTCCAGCCCCTAGAATTTTTCAAACTTTCTGAGCTTCCTTATATCCCTCTCATTCTCAGCCCGTCTGAGCTAATGTATTGTCACTCTCTTTTCCCCAAACATTCTAATTTGAACCCATCAAAAGACCTTCCTTCTTCATTGAGTAACTCTTTGATTTAATTTCTTAAGACCCTCATTTAGTCCTTTACTTCTTTGCACACTCCCAGTCGTATCTCTATGCCCACAAGACTACTCTTTGCTCCCTTAAAAAAAAAAATCTTGTTTTGATTCTTGTTACAGTGAGCCTGCTAAAGTCCATATGTGAGATTTCACACAGGCTCATTCTAACCACCCCTATCTCATCCAAACTGTAAGATTGTTTCCATTGGTCCCAGTTCTCCTCCATAAAGAAAGTCCCCTCTGACCCTGGGGACCTGAATAGTTACTAAATAATCTTCTACCAGCACAGGATCTTGATCTTCCTCATCTGTATCCTAGAGGATATGGATTCAAACATCCTCCCCAGTCTACCACCTAACCCTGCCCTTTCTCACATCCCTCCCTCTCAGAAAGGATCTTGGATCCTCACTAAACCAGATTGTCTCACAAGCGATTTCCTGAAATCC